AACTGTTAGGGGTTATTCATTAAGAGTCTCATTGACATTAATATGTTTAATGCCTAAGAGAAAATTATATATTCAAGTTCAAATTCTTAAGTGGCATTGCACAGAAACACAGAGAAGCTAACCAAATATCCTTCAGTATTAAAAACACTTTCCTGGATCAATTAGTTTCCTCATACTAGGGGCAAGGATTAATGTCGGATTAACAAAGTTTAAGCACTTATTAAATGCTATGTTTGTCTAATGTTTGTCTTCTTGGAGTTTCAAAGTTAATTTTAAAGGATTTCAATATGTTGAGGCGATCAAAAGGAAACTGTAACCCTGAGAAAGCCTGATTTGTGGTGGAGCCGATGAGTGAGTTAACTAATTTTTTAATATGTACAAATTGTGAAATATGTTTTTCTGTATTTAATCTGCATGTCACAACTTTAAACCAGTCAGTGTTGCTGTTGGCTAACCAGGTCTAATGGTGGAATAAGTTATTTGAATTTTAAGTGTTTTTATCCTGTTTTCATGCTCTGATTTTATACAATTTAGTTAAATGTACATTTCTGTATGTCCATGTTGGATCCAAACTGTGTGTGCTTTTGTTTGAGTTTTTTGTTAAATGTGTGAAAAAAGTGTCTCTTGTGCATGATGTTATAACGTCACATTGAAACTGAACAAATGGTATAGATAGTAAAATGAAAAATGGCCATGTCGGAGCGAAGTCAAAAGATAACTAATATTGAATTTATCAAGTTAAAACCAAAGATAAAAACAGTCTGAGAACTTTCTAAAGAAATGGAAATAAACAGGTGAAAGTATTAAAAGCAGCATCTTGATCAAAAGGCTTTGATTGGTTGTTGGTATCATCGAAAGCCTTAGAGCAGGGGTGTCAAACTTAAATACACAGTGGGCCAAAATAAAAAAAATGGGTACTAGTCGACCTAACCCTAACCCGGACAGGTTCAATGTTAATTGCAGACCTTATTGAAATGAACTTATTGCACATATTAAACCTGGAACTAACACAGCCTAAATGATTGCCTATAAAAACAATATTAAACATTAAATAATCAGTTGCATTCATTTCTTATGGCTCTATCTGCAGATTTTCCAGAGTCATTTCTTATGATTACATTTTTCCACAGGCCAACAACAGCTTCAAAAAAACTATTGCCAAACATGCCCTGTTGTCGCAAGAAAGAAAGTGCAGAAGGAAACATCCATGTAAACTCAGTGTGCTGCTCTGTGATGCTAGTTCAAGCCAGATACTTGGCATCTCATCTTGGGTGCAAGTTCATCAATGTTTGGGGTCAGGCTCTGAGGGGAGGAGACCCTCAGGATTGAGTGAAGGTGCAATATACCAGCGGGCCAGATCTAATAGTAATTAACAATTATCCTGCGGGCCGAAATGAAATCCACCAAGGGCCTGATTTGGCCCCCGGGCCTTGAGTTTGACACGTGTGCCTTAGACTGATCCACAAAGCCTCTCGTCAAATATCAACAAAAAATCTATTTAAACAATTTAAACCCTAACACCATTTAGAGCCTTGAAGTTACACAAAGTATATTCAAGGCTCTAAATGTTAGAGCTCTGAATGGTAGGGTGAAGGAAAAATATACAGTTTTCTTCATTTTTGGATCATAGACACATTTCCCCAGCGTTTTGACCCTTCCATTTCTACTGCAATGCAAGTCAAATGTCGAAAGAATCACCATGACTGCTGCAAAGGTATGAATTCAAGTGTGATGTTTGAGAGTTTCATGCTGCCCCCAGATGTATTCTGCAAGCTGACATTCACATTCACCTCCTGAGGGCTTCGGCAGGTACATTTGACTTGCTAAAGGAAATGGTAAAAGTGCTAGAATAAACAGAGCTGTATCCAGAAAGTGGACCGCAGAACTGAACACATAGAAACAATATGATTACTGTTATCTTCCACCAAAACTGATGCACAGTGCCAGGAGCAAAGATGTTGTTTTTCTTAAAGGATTGACAAAGGCACACACGGGGTGTTTCTCAATGTCGAGTACGCTTGCTTGGTAGCACATGTCTTCCGAGTCACCTTACATTTTCCGCCACAGATTTGGGGAAATTGGGTCCGTGCGCAAAGCATGGTGGGGATTTTAAGACCGCGGAGTCTACACATGTGCAGCCTCGAAATTTCTCCAAACGAAGTACGCCAGGCTCGGTAGATTTCCAAGTATACTGGAGATTGGAACAGTCCTTCGGCGGCACTCGATGACGTAGTATGCTTGAAATAGTGGCTCTGGAGCAGCTTTACTCGAGATTGAGAAACACCCACACACTCTCAAATTCTAAATCCCTGTGCAACCTTCCCGAATAGTTTTTTTTTCTCTTGTTGATTTTGGATTGTTGTGGAGCTTTTGCTATGAAAGATTCATCAGTGCTGCATCACAACCATTTATTGTAACTGAGACCTTAGAGATTGTCTCCATTGTGGTGAAAGTCTGGTGTGGGTTTAGTCTCTGGCAGGAAAACATTTCATACACAAAGCCGTTAGAGTGCAATGACCTCTAAAAAGGCATGAGTGTGTTTATTCCAGAGAGACCTGCACTCAGTGATAAACCTTCATTTAAATAAAAAAAAATAATAATTTGGAGTTGGACTCGCAGTGAAAAACCTTCTGGTTAAAAAACAAATTGTCGTTATTATCTACCAACTGCACAGACATCGAAGTGGCTGACAAGTGCAAACATGTCCCTGTTCCGGGGATAAAGTTGGCCATAACACACAAGGACACAAAAACACACTCCAGTAAACACTTATTCACCTTCTTGTCAGGGACGGATGAGAAGATAACACAACTCAAATCCTGTCACGTTCAAGGCCTCGAGACAAAACCAGCTGATCTAACAAGTTGTTCTTCGTTGCGTTGTTGCTGGAGTTTTACTTTTTCAGGGTTTTTGACCTTCTTTGAAATAAATGAAATTGTACCAGACACCTGGAAGCCTCTCTGCTCTTTCCTGTCTAGTTTATAATAACAATTAAATACGAAATGGTCCCCTTGGGGATAAATAAAGGGTTAGCTAGTCTGGCTTTCAAGGGTAAATTCATCCAACGAGCAGCATCTCTAAAGCTCACTATATTGTGTTTGTTTAATCCATACATTAAATGAAGTGTAAAGGAAATACATGTTTGTGAGTATGGCAAATGTGAGTTACTATTCCTCTGCTGGGAGTAATGACTTCCCGGAGTTTTCAAATCATCATGAGGTCTTTTATCCTGCTAACTGTAGCCTCTATGCTAAGCTAAGCTAACCAGCTGTTTATTTAACTGACAAACAAGTCAGTGGTATACATTTTCTCATCTTACTTTAAGAAAGAACGGGATGCAACAAGAAGTACATTCAGCAGCATTATCCAACTCCAATGGTCCAAACAGGAAAGCAGATCAAGCTTTTACTGAGCGCTGCTATAACACCAGACAGTAAAAACACTCTTGGGTTGTGGTCGAATAGTCCGTTTTGCTTAGGGACAATCCTAACTGAGTGAAATGACCAGGAAGTCAGTGGCAGCCATGATAAGAGCCGTTCAATTCTCTAGTCTAGATGATAGGAAAGGAGGTTTCAAACTTCCTTTATAACCTCCTTTAGCTTAGGAACCACTGGACCTCCCTAACCGAAAGGAGAGGAGAAAAATGCTGCCCCCACAATGCCTTGCAGCCGCAGCATTTGCCGTCACACAACAGTCGGGCGGTTCACGGAAACAACCGATTATGAACGAGAAATGATATCATGAAAGTTACGGTGCTTATTAAGCATTTTAAAACGTATGTGGTAAGTTGCCAAAGTGCTTTGTTTTGAACGTTCATCAGTATTATAATCAAAAAGAGAAATATGAACGTTAGTTTTTACTGAAATGATCAAATAAAGTCAACATTTCAGTCTTTACTGAGCTGTGTGGGGTTTGTTCAACTTTTAAAATATGTTTGAATGGTGATATACACAGTGATAGATGTTAAGGACTAACGTTTATAATAAATACATTTGTATTGATTTTAAGATATTTTCATACAGTCATACGTATTGGGATCATTTGTATTAATGTGCACCGGAGGGAGAGGGTGACGAGCATAAGTTTCACTTTCCTTTTTTATTTCAATTCCAACTTTAGTCATGAAGAATATGTTTCTCTGTTGTCCCCGTTCATAAAGCATAAAACAACAGCATCAGAGCACGGTGCAGAGTCTCTAGATGAGTTTACAGTAGTCCCTCGTTCTTATTAAACATCCATGTTGTAGTCCGCTGTATAGAAAACTGTAGTTTCCATAGTTTCCCCACAGCAGCAGACGCACATTTATGACCTCCGCTGGCGCATCATAAACACGTCGGATAGTGAAAGTGCACTCGGATTCTCTAAAGTACCGCAGTCTCTTCTCCTAAATCCTTTTGAATTCTCCTATCCACTATCCCTTAACCCCATGACGTTTCACTCAGAGGTAAGGAATAGACGATAGGGTTAGAACTTAGGAGCTGATTTTTGGACTATTCGACCCGCAACCCTGGTTTATCTATTAAAAAAGCAGGGAAATAAAAGGCCCACGTCCTGACTGAAAAACTAGACCCTTTTCTCTTTAAAGCTGCTGGATACCCACTGAATAAAGTATACTGGCTTAACTTGAGAAGCAATATGTAAATGATTGCTTTAAGGCATGGGTAAGAAGTCACAGTTAAAAAGAAGTTCAGACACAAACTCATGAACAGTCAACTACAAGGGCAGAAGAGCATTTTCCTTAAATCCTTTTAGATTTGCCTCAATATCAGCAACATCACTTATAAGGAAGTGATCAAATAACCCAGTCACAGCATAGCATTCAACTCAGAGATGGAAACACAGAATTTAATGGGCCAATTTAGCATTGAGAATATCAAACCACCTGGAGAAAGTCAAAGTATCACAAAGCATTGGACATCAAATATATATGTTCTCTTCTTCAACAGGTTATTTGAGGTAATGGGCTGCAGATAAGTGGGGAAAAAAAAGTAATAACTCACTGTTCCTGCAGGATGAAATCCATGTTCTCCGCAGAGATCTGCCCGCTCACAGGATGGCGAAACGCCGTGGTCCTCTGGTTATGACTGAAGCGACAGAAGAAAGAGAGAGAGAGAGAGAGAGAGAGAGAGAGAGAGAGAGAGAGAGAGAGAGGAGACAAAATTAGCTCCAGTGAAATCTCTGTGAGGGTATCACTGTGGATTTTCACCCCCACTGTGAGCACCAGTATAGCCGACACGAGCCGATCATTCCCCGGAGGAGTAGTGGGATTACAGGCTCTCCACCCTCATGGGCATTTCGTCCATGACTTTCCCAGCCCAGTGTAGAATGTGAGGGCTGGCTGTGGGACGTCCCCCCCCTCCCACCCCACCCTCCACAACCCCACCCAAACGTCCTGTACAGCAATCAAAAGTCGGGCTCAGCACAAAAAGCTGGCCAGTGCAGGCAGGGCCTCCATCAGTTATAGACTCGGCCAGTCGCTCTAAGCCTCTAGCACAGCGTCAAAGCATTCGACAGGGAAAACAACACGCGGAGGAATGAGGGGTCACAATTAGTGTATGTGCGTGTGTGTGTGTGCGTGTGTGTGTGCGTGTGTGCGTGCGTGTGTGTGTGTTGTTCTCCATTTCAACAGGAGCATGAATGCCTCACAGCAAAGAGTAGACAATGACTGCTGTGGTGTATTGATGTTTACACTGAAGGTTTGCGGTGAATGAACTAAAGAGGAAAAAGCCAGGATTCACTTTTGTTGGGGTCTCAAAAAAAAAGTGTGACACTAATCCTCTTTGGTACATATAAAGGGAGATCTCATGCAGCAAAATGTGTTCGCAAATATTTGAAAATAACAACAAATTATAAGCTGGCTCGTAGTTTTCTGACAGCATGAAACTTTTAAATTGAATTTATTGAGCTAAATCTATTTATTCCACCCTATAAGTTGATTTAACATCATTGTAAATTGCATATTGTTGAGTTTTGGACTTTTATAAAACAAGCAATCTGAAGAGGTCACCATCTAAGAAACCACTATTTTCTGAAATTCTTTACTGACAGAAGTTTAACTGGAGTTATAACTTCTCATTGTACATTTAATTTAATATGCCACTTACATATCACGGTCAACTATTATATTTTCAATCTTAAGTTCTATACATCTTCTATTTTGAGATGTTTATATTGTATAATTGTTTATTTTCTACTCTTTTTGTATTTCTAATTATGTGCAATACTTGTTTTAAAGTAACAAAAACAATTCCCAATGTAGGATAAATAAAGTATTTCTTATCTTATTCTACAGATAAGAAAAGTTTGAAACGAGACATCATAAAAATACGTGTGAAGAGTTAGTTAAGTTCTAAAATATAGGATCATGGTATTAAGTTTTGAGTTCGGTGGTTTAGAGTTTGTCCTTTTGTGCTTATTTTGGCTGCATAATGTCAACATTTTCAACTACTGCAGGTGTGTTTGGTTGTCAGATTCAAGTAAAAAAATGACATCCGGAGCACAACGCTGAGAATTTATAGTTTTCTTCAGCCCTGACGAATCACCTCCAGTGGCCCTCAGAGGACTGTTCTCACATTTACACATGAACGTTTGAGAGAAAATGCAGAAAAGGGTGTTCAGGAGCACGGAAAAACTCTGCTCCATTTCCTCAAGAGAGCTACAATGCTGGAGGAGATGTGTTCGTCACGCTGCAGAGTGTGTGTTACAGGACAAAAACACCCCGTGCTGTAGATATCATCCCTCAGGGGATCCGCTCACTGTCTCAACATCACAAGCCGCCCTGCAACCGGTCTGAGGCGCTTTAAGAATTAATGATTGTCTGAATAGGATGGAATTATAATCGATCAGTTGGAGCAGGAAAGGGAAAACAGACAGTCCCGATGGGGCTCTGAGTTACGACTGAAACACTCTCTGCTCTCAGAGCGGCTACACATTCAACAGACATGCTAAACAGCAGTTTGTCAACGCTGTTTAGCATATAGACAGCGAGCTGATTAATGCACGTGATATCATGTGTGTTGCACATGTGGAGAAAGTCCCTTCAACATGTTAGAGTGTAAACCAATGAAGCAGGGACTCAAAATACACTATACCATCTACTTCCTCATTATTTACAAACTTTTCGTTTCTTCCTTTCTCAAATACTTGGCTTTCAAAATCTAAATAATAAGAAAAAGGAAATCTAATCTGGATATGGAAATATATTTTTCTTTACATGATTATATTTGGAAAAGGTCTGTTTTTTCACCTGTTAATGGATTACATTAAAACACTTGAATTACTTTGGCAGAAAAATGCGTTAAGCAGGGATTTAAACAAATGTATAAAGAAATCAAGCATTAAAACACCATTATTAGATAATTGGTTTATTATGGTAATGTGAATCCATTCCAAAGAACTCATTGGTATTCAGGGAGGCTCTCTTAAAAACCTTTTCTCCCAATAAATATTTAAAAAGGGCCCTATTATGCTTTTGGGGTTTCCCTTTCCTGAAGTGTGTTGTATAGGTTTGTGTGCATGTAAATCAGGCGTCTCAAACTCAAGGCCCGGGGGCCAAATCCAGCCCGCGACTTCATTTTATGTGGCCCTGCAAGAGCTTGCAAAGAATATAATACGTTTATTATATGGTTACATGCATCTTTACAGAAGCAGGTTGCCCATAAACTACATGTCCCACAATGCATCTCGTTTTGTGACATGCACACCGAAGAGACTTGCAATTATTTGCCCTGGACTTCTGCTTTCAGACGTAGTTAATTACTAAGTTATTATCCTATCCGATAATAATCCAATTCAGAGGCAATAATGTAATATAATACATTATTTTATATATATATATATTATATATTTATATAGTTACAACCGGCCCTTTGAGTGCAACCTAATGTGGCCCGCCATGAAATTGAGTTTGACACCCCTGATGTAAATGGTCTGCAAAGGCTAAAATCCTGAATTGCTGTTAAGCATTTTATTGGTTGGAGCACTCCAACACATTGTACGTGATAGGCTAAGGGGCGGGACATCTCTAATCGGTTGACCAATCACAACAGAGCCGGCCAGCTAACCAATCAGAGCAGACTGGGCTCTGGTTTCAATCAGAGGGTGAAAAGAGGTGCTGCAGCACAGGCAGTATGAGAAAAATGAAGAGCTTTCTGAACATTAAAGCATGGAAACATGTCCCAGTAGAGACACAAAATACAAATATGAACCTAAAAGCATAATAGGGCCCCTTTAAAGAAAATATTGCGCCAATCACTCAAACACACAGTAAACACCAGTTGAGAAATGTTAAATATTTCATGATGACAGCCGTAAACTATTTCTCATTCACACAAATGTGTAAGAACTAATGGACGCATGCAGTATTCACAAAGAGCTTATGAAATGAAATGCAATATGTTAAACCTATTAACTCTGATCCCTCTGCCAGAATGGTGAAAAAGGTATTTACGACCACTGATGACACCTTTAAATCCTCTCAGTGGGCCTGGCAGTAAGTATGGATATTGATCGCCTACATTCACACAAAGGCTTGTTTATTTCTCAGCGGATGTGTGAAGCTCTTCTCCAGGGGGAACTGATAGATCCAGGTCTGATAGCTCACAGAATATGAAAGTAAAAAGCGTGTCAGTGTCCCCTAAAAGGTTGTTTATCAGCAGCTGTGGATCCCTTTTCTGCAGCGAGGTCTAAAATAGTACATGATATAACAGACATGATTGTGTCATTTCAGTAGAGCTGAACAATGACCTGAGCTGTAAAGGGAAACATGATGAAGGTAGCACTAAAAGCTTCATAAAGCACCCTTTTAACAATGCCCTTTAACACGTAATAAAAGACACAATGTACCTCACATCTCCGAGTCCATTGTGGGTTTTTCTTATAATAACAGCAGGAATAGTGCTGCTTTAAGTAGAGTGGGATGACATAAAAGAATCAGTGTTGAACATAAAATGATATTTTTTGTGACAGTTGCTCAGGTTGAGAGAGGAAAATCTACCTCCTGTTGATCAAGTCGGTCAAACAGGAAGAAGGGTATCGAAGAACAAGAGTAAAATAAAGGATCAGAAAGCAATCCAGAGATACAAGACATGTCTGAAAAATGATGCTCCTTGTTAAATAGGTCAAGTTCAATGCTCTTCCCTGCAAATTGGGGACTAACTGGAATTAGATGGAGGACAAGATAACATTACATTACATGTTACTTGTTAGACGCTTTTATCCAAAGCGACTTACATACATTCAGTACTGTGGACAATCCCCACAGGAGCAATTTGGGGTGAAGTGTCTTGCCCAGGGACACAACGACATGCTGACTGCAGTGGGACTCGAACTTGCTATCCCCTGATTTGAAGTCCAGCACACTATCTACTGAGCCACAGCCTCCTACCTAGATAAGGGGATAACCCAAAAAGTAGAAGGTGCACGAATCAATAGTCTTTGGTCAAATGACTATATCAAATGTGAAGTGGTGGCTTGAACCAAAACATTTGCATTATCCCCCTTTTATTGCACAATGTCATCATTGTACCTTTAATCTAAATGTATTTGTTATATGTTTGCTATTTTTAGTTTGTTTTTATGTCTTTTACTTGTATCTGTATGCTGTGTGATGTCAATTGTCTGTGAAATGTCTATGTGAAGCACCTTGAACTGCACTTCTTGTATGAAAGGTGCTATAGAAATAAAGACTATTATTTGTAATGTCATGTTTAATGTCTGTTTCCTTGAATCTTGTCCTAATTTGTGTCCATGTTGATGATGCAAGCTGTGATGCAAGAACAAGTTAAGACTGGATCTCACGATAAAGTGTTATGGTATTGAAAATTATACAATTATTAGCCGACTAATGAAGCTCAGCGTAAGTTCAACCAGGAAGACCGTCTTTACTCTTCATTTTCTATTCCCACGTAATTACCCTCTCTCCTCTCAATAAGTGATCGGGGGCGTCACTCTCCAGCTAAACCAATCACTTCGCTCTATTCCCAAGAGCCTATCATAGCGCTCTGCCAAACCTTTTAAGTCTGCTCTCCCCTCTGACAGCTGTCATTTCAGGTGACTCGATGCAACCCTCCTCCACCCCTTTTCA